TCCGGGCAAAGCGCGACCATTCCCTTGGGAGGAGGCGCCCTTTTCTGGCCAGCTGATGCCTTGGAGAAACAGCAGAGTTACAATTTGGCACTTTCTCTCCTACTTTTAGGGCATATATACATATACGTATATAAACAAAACTTGCTTGGTTTTTAAAATCACAGGCTTTCAGGAGTCGGGCTGAAACCGGCAAGAAAAGTGCCCTCGGCCCTATGTTAGGTCTTTAAATACGCTTCTTTCCTCTTTCTCAGAAAATTGGCTTGTTTAGTTATAAAAAGCATGAACAAATCTTCAAATGCTCTAGCTCTCCTAAATGAAGAGCAGGAACGATTAAGAACAGCAGTCTTACAAAATAGATAGGCCATTGGCTTTGTGCTATTCAAAATGGCCCATGGGTGCGAGGAATTCCAGATACGTGTTGCTTTAACCCGACAGACAGTTGAAGCCACTGTGCAGGATTTAAAGGATCTGGCAAAACATATCACTGAACAAGCCCCCAGCAATTTTGGAACTGGCTTGCCTCTTGGTTGCCTGAATCTGGGTGGTTGAGAAATTTAGCCTTAGGGTGCCTAGCTCTTCTGGCCGCTGTAATCCTATTACTGGGTACTGGACAATGTTTAATGGGTCTTTTTAACAACTGCCTCCAGAAGAGTGTAAGGCTCAACCCAGTTCTCCAGTCTGACCTGGAATTCGACCTCCAAGAGGTCAAAGAGGGATGAACCGTGAGGAAAATATATCTTTGGGTGAATCTTTGGGTAAAAGAAGCAAGTTTTTAGAGGCCTCAGAGGAATGGGATCGCCTCAATAGAACTGAAACATAAAGGAATGTGCGGCACCCTTGAAGCTGGCATGAACTAGGCTGATTGTAAACCCCTTATCACAAACATCCCCACAGCAACATAAGGGAGGATGTCGTCTTCCTGGCAGTTGGCACCTTGAACAACTTCCCCTCTGACACTGCTTTCCTTATAGACAGCAGTTGTTCCATCCTTGTAGATAGCGGGCAAGAACAGGGACAGAAAGTAACTTGAGAAGTATTGCTCGTTCAGGTATGCCCGCATCATCATATGAACACGTATTTAGGTATGTGTTCCTTTCCCTTCCCCTTTCCTGCAGAACTGTATAAACATCAGGGCATCCATTTTGCCCACAGGGGAGTGTCTCCCACTAATCTTCCGTGGGGTCCCCCTCCAGTACGTGCTGCCTAATGAACACTGCAGGGGAACCCTGGTTGTTTTGCCTTTGTGTCCTGCATTTGGATTCCACAGGAGCATTCTGCAGAGCCCCCAGATCCTGTTCTAGATCCTGACCCACTTAGTTTTGACCCGGGATCAGACGCAGGACTTTCATAGACATTGGAGGGGGCATTAGCGCCTCCTTCCACCTCTAGCGATATTGCTACCGGGGGGGGGGGGGGGGGG